GACAAACATGAACTGGAGGAAGAGGAGGAGCGAATAAGGAGCAAACTTCAGATGGAGGAGGAACGAATAAGGAGGAGAAAGGAGCAACTTCAGATGGAGGAGGATATTGCAGCACACATGGCTAAATTAGATGTGTTGCAAACAGGGAGCATCCTAAGTGGGAAAAGTTAAAAAACAAAGCCTTCGGATGGAATGAACTCTTATTGAACAAAGAAACCTTAAACCACAAGTCCTCACACTGTCAAGGACAATATAAATGCTCCAAAAATGTTGCTAAACCAAAGGGAGAGCAATGACTTCTTGGATCCAACAACACGGCCTAATGAGAACATTTCACCTTGGTTCCTTTCCTCAGAGCCAGTATCCCAAAAAAAATCCAATTTGCAAACACAATGAATTATGGAGATAGCTTGAACGCAAGTGAAGATCAAAACAACATACTGGGCATTATGAGAAAATGAAATAACCACACTGTTAATACAACAGCAATGCCTTTCATCCTTGCCAAAGAGAGAGATTCCAGTTTTTGATGGCGACCCGTTAAAATATCACACATTTATGAAGGCTTTTGAGAATGGTGTTGAGAAAAACGCAAACAGCTCCAGTGACCGACTCTACTTTCTGGAGCAGTACACTCAGGGTCATCCCAAAGGACTTGTTGGAAGTTGCCAGCACATGGATCCAGAGAGGGGATACATCAAGGCTAAAGCTCTAATCCAGGAGCAGTTTGGAAATGAGCAGAAAGTGGCATCTGCATATTTGCAAAAGGCTCTTTCATGACCTCCTATAAGAACAGACGATGTTAAGGCTCTGCAAGACTACAGCTTCTTCCTTCGAGCGTGTGCAAACGCAATGGAAGAGGTGCAGTATTTGCATGAGCTTGACATGGCTGCGTATATAGTGATCATAATAAGAAAGTTACCTTACCATGTCAGAGACAAGTGGAGAACTTTAGTCTGTGAGCTGCAGGAGAGGAACAGCCGCAGAGCAACATTCTTTGACATCACACACTTCATTGAGAGACAAGTTAAAATCATTCAAGATGCTCCCTTCATAACAAGTAGGGCTGTCAGTCGATTAAAATATTTAATCGCGATTAATCGCATGATTGTCCATAGTTAATCGCGATTAATCGCAAATTAATCGCACATTTTTGATCTGTTCTAAATGTACCTTAGAGGAATATTTTTCAAGTTTTTAATACTCTTATCAACATATGAGTGGACAAATATGCTTTATGCTAATGTTTATTATCATTTGAACAATGACAAATATTCTCATGAATATTAAACGCAACAACCTCTGAACATTACAAATATTCGCCTCAATTCAACCTGGAACCTCTCTCATACAATAATACAATACAAATGGTGTGTGTGTGTGTGTGTGTGTGTGTGTGTGTGTGTGTGTGTGTGTGTGTGTGTGTGTGTGTGTGTGTGTGTGTGTGTGTGTGTGTGTGTGTGTGTGTGTGTGTGTGTGTGTGTGTGTGTGTGTGTGTGTGTGTGTGTGTGTGAGAGATCGTTGGCGCTATGTGCAACTCAAGGCATATGCTCGAACGGGAGCTGCCTAGACGCTGCAATCATGTTGCGCACTATCCGTGCTGAGTGTGCTGACTTCTCGTACAATGTCTGGCTTCCTGCATAAAGTCAAGTGCTCGGCACAGTTGTGGCGAAATGTCGCTCCTCTGTTTTCATTTAAACAGCTGCTTCTATCCATTAGCGCAGCTAGCTAGCACCAGATGCTAACAACAACAATGCACGTAAGGGCTCTCTCTCGCTCGCTCGTGCCACACATACACACACCCTCCCGGTCCTCCCAATAGCCAGTCGGTGCCTGCCGGTGTTCCGGATTAACTGGTTCCCCGATCAACTGGTTGACAGATGTGGAGGCGTGGCCTTCGACTGAAATACACATTTCGATCGCTTCTTCTGCCTTTTACATAAATCTTTTGGTATATTTGGCTGGATAGGAACAATTTGATACACATTCAGTACCAGTGTGTGAGGTTGTGCTTACATGGCGATATCCGGACGCGAACAGCGAGGACTACAAAAAGAAAAACAGGTTGACATGGGGATGTCTGTTCAAAACATTGCGAGCTCCAATAAATCATTTAAACCAGCTATTGTTGCCAGACTTATTACTGAATATCGTTCTTAATGTGATACCAAGTCCATCTGAGACATGTGTACACCTTCAGACAGCCTCCAAGTGAAGCACACGTTGTTTACTCACAGTTTGAAAGCAGCGTGGAGAAGTCTTCAGCTGTGGTAAGTTGTGATCCGCTCGAATAAAACCTTAAAACCAGCTATTGTTGCCCGACTTATCACTGAATATCGTTCCTAATGTGATACCAAGTCCATCTGAGACATGTGTACACCTTCAGACAGCCTCCAAGTGAAGCGTACGTTGTTTACTCAGAGTTTGAAAGCAGCGTGGAGAAGTTTTCAGCTGTGTTAAACTGTGATCCTCTCAGGTAAACTGTGATTCGCTCAGGGTCAACTGGGATCCACCCATGGGAAAATGGGATCCGCCCAGGTTAAACTGTGTTACGACTTCTGTGGCTATCTACCAGCGATCATGTTTAATATGAAAGACACACACATGTATCCCTTATAAAAACGGCATTCTGCAGCACTCATCCAGATAACATGTGACTGTTAACTCGTTTTGCAAAGATAGCAGCAGAAATGTCATTGCTGCATGTGCAGGGATATTAGACTTTAAAATGCTGATGGGTCATTAATGTTGGTCTCGGCAAACAATATTAGGAATCCTCTATTCAAACTACATAATATTCAGTGTCCATCGACATGAAAATAACAAAAAAGTTCATGCTGGACTCAAACCCGAGTCCGAACAGCAAAAGTCACTCCGGCCCTGCGCGTTATGAGTGCGCCACGGATCAACACGACACCATGGTAAAACTAACATTTATCACAACATAATGTGGGCTCGCAGGCTGATAAACTAGGATATCTGATCTCGGTGGGTCTTAATGAGGCTTGATACAGACCTCAGTCAGAATACTATATTATAATATGTATATTATATGGCTTAAAGTGTACATACATTCGCTCACATTATAAATGATGGTCGGGTTGCATTTTTCTGGAACTTTTTAACAAGGTTAATCTAAAATATTATAGTGTGGTGGTTCGATACGTTGTTTTGATCCGTGGCGCACTCATAACGCGCAGGGCTGGAGTGACTTTTGCTGTTGGGACTCGGGTTTGAGTCCAGCATGAACTTTTTTGTTATTTTCATGTCGATGGACACTGAATATTATGTAGTTTGAATAGAGGATTCCTAATATTGTTTGCCGACACCAACATTAATGACCCATCAGCATTTTAAAGTCTAATATCCCTGCACATGCAGCAATGACAATTCTGCTGCTATCTTTTCAAAACGAGTTAACAGTCACATGTTATCTGGATGAGTGCTGCAGAATGCCTTTTTTATAAGGAATAAATGTGTGTGTAGTCTTTCATATTAAACATGATCGCTGGTAGATAGCCACAGAAGTCGTAACACAGTTTAACCTGGGCGGATCCCATTTTCCCATGGGCGGATCCCATTTTCCCCTGAGCGAATCGCAGTTTACCTGAGAGGATCACAGTTTAACACAGCTGAAAACTTCTCCACGCTGCTTTCAAACTCTGAGTAAACAACGTACGCTTCACTGGGAGGCTGTCTGAAGGTGTACACAGGTCTTAGATGGATTTGGTATCACATTAGGAACGATATTCAGTGATAAGTCGGGTAACAATAGCTGGTTTTAAGGATGTATTCGAGCGGATCACAGCTTAACACAGTTGACGACTTCTCCACGCTGCTTTCAAACTGTGAGTAAACAACGTGTGCTTCACTTGGAGGCTGTCTGAAGGTGTACAACAATAGCTGGTTTAAATGATTTATTGGAGCTCGCAATGTTTTGAACAGACATCCCCATGTCAACTCGTTTTTCTTTTTGTAGTCCTCGCTGTTCGCGTCCGGATATCGCCATTGTAACCACAACCTCACACACTGGTACTGAATGTGCATCAAAGTGTTCCTATCCAGCCAAATATACCAAAAGATGTATGTAAACGACAGAAGAAGCGATCGAAATGTGTATTTCAGTCGAAGGCCACGCCTCCACATCTGTCAACCAGTTGATCGGGGAACCAGTTAATCCGGAACACCGGTGAGCGTGGAAGTGTGGTCTGCCACAAGCGGGCGGCAGGAGCGGGGCTGTCAGCATCAGCTTGTAGATGGTATTTTAAACTCGATGCGCTCTGAAACTACGGGGCGGCCGAGGACAAAAAATACACATGCGTTAATCGCGTTAAAATAATTAGTGGCGTTAATTTTTTTTTGCGTTAACGCGTTATTAACGCGTTAACTTGACAGCCCTAGTTTTTATATATGGATATGGGCGGCACTCATTATAACCTGCGTGAGGTGTGGGTGACACAGGGCTGTTGTACTTTTTTGTTGACCGCAATTGCTTCGATTAATATAACAATGTACATGTCCAAGGAGTATAAGTTGATTATCCCAGTTTTCATTAAACTACATTATTTTGCAACAGAGTTTTTGATTTCAGCAAGTACTTTTTTGTAGCGTGTCACACAATATCAAACAGGCCCGGCCTCAGCCTCTCAGCGACTTTGTTTGTTCAGCTAACACGTGACTGTATGTCAGATTCCTGTTTCTTACGTGGAGAAACGTGTGCAGTGGTTTGCAAAAAGTGCCATGTTGATTTGCAAATTATGTGAAAAGCTGAAAACGTTTTTGGAGATTTGAGCCGATGTTTTGCTCTTTGAGTGTCAGTTAAAATAATTGTGCTTTATGTATAATTTTAGTGTGTTTCATTCAAACAAACATTCATATACAGTAAGACAGAAGGGTGACTAATATCCAATAAAGGTGGGGTGTCTTATGTGTTCAGGATAGTTATAGTATTGAGTATGGATAGAATTTCATGACATGGAAGCTATTGAAATAAGACTGTCTTAAAATACAGGTTTTAATTCCACAAGAAAACACACACCAGAAATCTAAAAAAGTGTCTCACATAGATAAACGTTAACTTAGTGTGTTAGGAGTGAGGGATATGCTGGAAGTGTAACATACATGCATTACAGACTTGGTTTAAGGTCATTTTGAAACATTATTTGTCCACCATTGAGTAATGAAAAGCTGGTCTCGTCCGGTACATTGTTATAGTAATAAGAAATGATCTTTTAGCAGTATTCCTAAGAGTGACTGAGATGCTGGATGAATACAGACGGGATAAACAACAGCGAACAAAAATCACAAAACAGCACTGAGTTTTTAAAAAATCACAGGAAGATTTATAGTTCAGCAGAATCCTTTACAAGGCATGTATTGAAATGTCCAATCAGAGAAGAGCATAGATGAGTTTACATATCTCACACATTCAGATCAAACAAATAAAATCAGATCAATAGTCAGAATTAGACTCATTATTTTTGCCATAGTGTTTCTCCTTCTTTTTAAAGTTTTTAAGGGCCATATAAAATCATTTTTCTTAATGTAGGGCTTCACAAAGTTCTAAAACTATGATAAAAGATTAAATAGAATATATCAATGTATTTCTTCAGGCATACACCCTCTACTGAGCTAGTAGCTACAAATAGATAATATAACAACTCTTCAGATTATCATTTTGTTGATTAAAATACAGGATATTGAGGTAGACAGAATATCTTCTGCCGTCGTCCACACCTTCGTCTCAGTCTTCATGTGTCTCGCTCTAATCTTTCCTTCCATTGTTTCAGGTCTTCTTCAGGAAACGGGTTGATATTGCCAAAGTCCCAATTTCTTCGGTAAAGTGCAGCCTCAGCCAGCATGTGGTACCCTGTTACACATCCAGTCAACGACCAAACCGCTGCACCATTAGGTGTAGTAAATGTATGCCTGTGTGTGTTTTTGTGTGTGTGGCTCAGCTCCTGACTGCCAGCATGGAGTTGATCTCCCAGATGAGGTTGCGCAGTTGGTCCATGATCTGCTTCAGCTGCTGGTTCTTCTGTTTCAGCTTCTGTGGATCCAATGACAAAAAAAAGACTTATATGAGACGCATAAATCTACATATATGAAAGTCAGAGTGCCTTTTTCTAACCCTGACCCTAACTAGCGGGTTTACGAAAGGTCACAAACACAACAAATACCTTCCACAAACAACAAAGCAATTACAATTCAGCAGAAAACTAATAATTCAAGCCTTACAGGTTATGAATGTTGTACATACGGTAGTCATACTGGTATTGAAAAGTCCAATGGAGCCAAGTTTAAGCTGCTACACTTTACAAGGTTTTCTCTGACAGCACTACTTTAGCAACAAGCTTATAACACAGCATCAACTTCACACTTCCTGCACTATTGTACGTCCTTGTAAAATATAATGTACTTCTCCATATTAATGAAAAAACTGGTTCCAGATGTAACATTGTTCCTAATGACTGAGGCTGTTGTTGCTGTTAGCATGAGGAAATTAACAGGGAGGTTTTTCCCAGCCGTAGAATCCCATGAGAAACACATTGGATGCTAACATAGCAGGTATGTTGTTAAACACTTTCCACATCCAACACACATTTTGTATTTATCGTAAAAAGGTACAAGTGAGGCTGATGGGAAGACTATTAGTTTGGCAAGTTTGATCGTAAAGCATGTGGTAAAATTATTGGTAAATATTTGACTTGGCGTGGGATAAAAAGTGAGGGTCTGGAAATCATACATTTCTGGACTCAATTTGACGGCAATCCATTAAATAGTTGTTGACATATTTGAATCATAGACCAACATTTCCATACCCACAGCTTTCTTGTTAATGTGACAAAAAACTAAATGATATCCAGAGGAGTGAAGTGAATAAGTAAATGTACTCAAGTACAATCCTTGAGATACTTTCCATTTGTTGCTACTTTGTACTTCTACCCCACTACAATTCAGAGGTAAATCGTGTACTTCTACTCCACTACATTTATTTAGTTACTTTAGTTATTTCACATATTTGGATAAATGATGTGAAATATTATCAACACTTAAATCAGACTTTAGTTACACCTGGAGTACAAGCTACCCTGCAGTATACAAAGTCATTCAAACTAGCTGCACCTTTACCAGCTGTGATAACACTTAATAATTATAATCAAAACATATCATTTGCCCACAACTTTGAGTACTTTTACCTTTTGTACTTTTACTTGAGTAACATTTTGAAAGCAGGACTTTTACTTGTAACAGAGTATTCCTACACTCTGTCATTCTACTTTTAAGTACAAGATCTGAGTACTTCTCCCCCACCTCTGCTAATATCTATTACCCATATCTAAACCTTTACATCCTCAGTAGGAATGAATGTGTCTGGGTTGAGTTCCATAGACAAACCACATGAGTAAAAGCAGACAATGTGTTTTTCATGGGATTTATTGACTCATTGAAATAACACCTGCCTTACCCTTTAGAGTTTGTATATGGTGATGATTAATGGACGTTTGAAAGCCACATCAGTGTATGTCTTCGTCCAACATACAATAAACCAAGTTGTCCCACCTGCTCATTGACCTCTCTGCAAATACTGAGTACTTAAGTGCATCAATCCTGGCCTCTGCTAATCGCTAAGCTAACACATCAGGTACATCACAGAGGGGCAGACAAGCCATTCTCCCGTCAGTCACTGAAGGCTTTGTCTGCTGATTGCCTCTGAATGTGCCGCCAAGATCTCTAAGTCAACAGTTGCGGCGGACCGAAGTGCCTCGATGCCCGAGCTTTATACATAAACAAATAATGGCTCTGCTGCTGCTGGAGGGTCGGAATAAAAACAGGTAGGAGCTGCCAAATGTACGCTGCCTTTGAACAAGTACCTCGGGCAAAACATCTCCATCTGAAGGCACATTTAGCAACAGCAGTACATCACAGCTACTTACTCAGCTGTTTTTTCTTCTGATGGATAGTCAGAGAAGGAGGGGGGGGGGGGGGGGGGGGGGGAAGCAAATATCTCACTCATTCAGGAGCTACTGTATCTGCAGTGCAGTGAAATCGTTTAAGATTAAATCGGTCTCTCTCTCTCGGTAACACTCCTTTAGCCGTGACTAATTACCAGCCATTTTTGCAGCGCAGATAACACCTTGAGCAATCGATTTCACACAGCTCTCTTAATATCAACTGTTTAGCTGATTGTCCTTGAAGATATTCCAGAGTGGAACATTTGGAGGCCTTCCAGTCTCTCTCTACTCAACTCTCAGGGGGTCTCGCTGCCTCACAATCTCTCTCACACCCCCCCTTTCCAATCCCTCTTTGACTTTCACTTCAATTCTGTGTGCATGTGCATATGTGTGTGTATTACATGGGATATGCCTCATTACCCTGACGAGCAGTTCTTGAAATAACTCGGTCATTCACTCTTTATTAACGAGATGATACCATGAGCCTTTGTCATTTCAGTCAACATTTTTTAAACAAAGAATACAACACGTGTTCATTTTTCTTTTTGAATTGAAAACCTTTTGACATCAGGATTTAAAAAGCTGCAATCATAGAGATATTTTACAAGCGTTTCATGGCTTCAAAGGCCAAATGTACTGCTTCCAGAATCCAGAAGATCTTTTTGAGCTTTTCTTTGAAACCACACATGAAATTCCAAATTGTTCACAGTGGAAATAAGAGAGTATGGAGGCAGCGAAGCCTTCACGGCACATTCATCATAAAAGGCTTGCTGGCATATCTTGATATATGAATAACAAGAGTGCTTTTTCCACAGAAATTGTTCTGCAACCTCGGGGAGACATATTTCCATTCATAACCTCATAATTAGCCTAACTCTAATCCTTCACACCTACAGTATAAGGCGATGTTTGGGAAAAGGGTATACTACTGAGAGCAAAGCAGAGAAAGGGAGCTCTGTAACATTGTTTTAATTCTGTTAAAAGGATTTCAAACACCTCTGGAGGACTCCAGCGGATGTACTTTTTCATTTCTTGGCACGCCACTCAGCGGCTCGGCCCCACAATAATGTTTTGATGCCTTTTCAATCCGCTGAAGGCCTCTTCTGACACGCTTTGACACCGAATCGGCCGCGGCAGGGTGGCCAGTCAACAACTCATGAAAGTAAACAAGGAAGCGCTGTCTGAGCCCCTGTCTCTGAAGGCCTCCTGCAGACTGGCAGCCTGCCTTCCTGCTACACAGAACCTGGAAATGCTGGCAGCCGTCGGAGGACTGGCGGAGGACGGAGGAGAAGCACAGTGACCCGAGAAGGAGTGGAAATGGAGATTGGCACGCACGGAGGAGATGCAGCGATGTGTCAGTGTGTGTCGGAGAATGTTCAGCTGTGCAAGTGTTTATGGTCAGATGTGCTGGTCTGTTTGTGAAGTCAAAATGTGTGTGTGAGGGTGGGAACACAGGAACATGTGTTTTTATGTCGGCATTGTTCAGTGTTCATGGTTTCTATCCATTTCTTATCTATTGGATGCAGTTTTGCAGCAATAATACGCTGAACAAGAGAGACCTATTACAATTTGTATTATTGATTAATATTTTGGCAATTTTTACAAACATTATTTAAAAGATAAAATATTGGGAAAATCCTCAAAAAAAATAACCTGTATTTAAACAATTAGTTGTGTCAGACCAACCAGATCTTTCTGATCAATTAATCAATTCAGTCCAATTAGTGATGCTACAGCACTTCCTGTAAGTGTGTGACAATAAATACATTATCAACTGTCAGCATTTACTGTGAAACTGGATGTTATGAGAGTTACAGTTAGCTCAGAGATTTAGTGTATGTGTTCTGTCTAGATTAGTGTATGTGTTCTGTCTAGATACAGAGAGAAGGTCATGACAGTGTTCAACCGCAGGAAGCTCTCTAACAGCACATCGGGCATAGGACAAGTCATGGGGAGATTTGTTTTGAGTGTCTTGTAAGAAGAAGTCACATGGACTCGTGAGTAGTTTGTTTATAGGGCTGAGTTTTGGCAAAGAGATTAAACATTTTGGCTTGGGGGGGTGGGGTTAAAACAAATCCGATTGCAGTCCCTGTAACTTCAGCTAAGCCTGATGGACATGGCAGAGTAGCAGTCATTTTCCATCCATGATTCATATCAAAAACATGTTCTAAAAGAAAATGAACATGGTGTCACTGGAGTCGCACTGACCTACATTAGTTTCATTTTATTAGTATCTGCAGCTTTTATCCTGACAGTGTCTGATGCTTTGTGCACCATCAACACCATCAGTTTGGATCTAAAACGACAAAAGATTATACAGAGAAGGATCGTGCATAGTGGAGCGGAGGACAGCAGCTCCATCATTAGCTGAAGCCTTTAAAACAGGACAATGGCAAAAGAGACGGGGGGCTGTTTGGATGATGGGATGTTACTCCATCCTGCTCCGTGTTTCTCAGAATCCCTTCATCATGCTCCTTCTCTCCCTTACTCCACCAAATCAGATCAAAGAAGCTGTCCTCAGTAAAAGGGGGAAGACAGAAGAGGGGGGGGGGAAATGCTGAATATTTCCTCAAAATCACTATATCAAGATTCTGCGCTGGTGAAACTTTACCACGAGAGGAGCTCAAACAGCTGTGTGTCTGTGTGACAAGTCAACATAGATCCTGGCTCGGGCCAACACAAGACATTGCCCAACTAGAAATCGATTAGTCATAATATATATTCATACACTCACATCAAAGAGACGCTTTCAATAAAAACTAAGTGGATTTTTGTGTCTTCAATACTGCTCAAATGTTGTTCGGTGACACGTTAGATGCACAACGCAAGATCCTTATCTGTAATCACTTGGGATTTATCAAATGTAGGCCAACAAACAAGAGGGCGTCTTCGGGCTTATCAAGCTTTATAATTGGCATCTCTATATTAATTAATTCTGTAGCATTATCTCCACGTTTTAAAGCTGATTTGGGAGGAGGTTTTTCTTTTTTGATCCAATACACATTATAGAAAAATGAAGCTAATCTTGTAATTATATTATTATATGAATGAGATGAGGCATTCATGTGCTTTTTGGGCATTTAACCCGTTCGTA